TGCGCGCTCCCAAGCGCTCCCTGGCGCCTCCGAGCGCTCCGGGGCGCTCCGAAGCATTCCCAGGCGCTCCGGCGCGCTCCCAGGCGCTCCCGGCGCGCTCCCAGCACGCTCCCAAGCGCTCCCATGCGCTCCCAAGCTCCCACAGGTGGTCCCAAGCGCTCCCCGGCGTTCCCAAGCGCGTTTAAGCAGTCCAAGCGGTCCCATGGCGCTCCCAAGCGTTTTCATGATTCGCAAGCACTCGGCAGCGCTCCCTGGCGGCGCTTCCCGGCGCTCCTTCGCAATGCAGGTGCTGCCGCAGCCATGCGCGCGCGTCGTAGCGAGGGGGTGCCAGACCCACCCCCTCGCGCTCCCCCTTCCAGCCATGCGAAATTCGCGCCGAAGGCGGCTGCGTCGACAATGCAATCGCTTCAGCGGGGGCGACGCCAACGGTCCTGCCCAATGGGCAACCCACGGCCCGCGCTCGCGAAGGCAAGTGCGGACCCCTGTGGATCTGCTGCGCCAGCGGCAGCCCAACGGCGAAGCCCCCTGCCGAAGGCGCAACAGCTGCCTCATCGACGAGGCGAGCTGACGCGCCAGCGCCATGCACCCTGCGCGCGTGCCCGCATGGGCGCGCATTGCCACGGCCGCGACCGCGCGCGCGCGCTTCCCAGCATTCGCACCCCAGTGTCACAACCCAGTGCCGAAGGCAAAGGCGGCAACGCACGGACATGCTGCGCCAGGGGCAGCCCTGCGCGCGTGCTCACGTGGATGCGCAATGCCACGGCCGCGTCGGCGATCGCCTGCGCGCGCCAACACGAAAGCCCCCCTTGATAGGGGGGTTGGGGGGAGAAACCCTAAACCCTAAAAGGCTTTACTGTGGGTGGTCTGGGGCGGGAGTGCAAGTTCATAGCGCGCGCGGCTTGGGCAGCGATCCCCCCCAACAACCTTGATGTGGGGGGGATCGCAGCCAGCGCGCGCATGCGCCAATGCAGGCCCTAAACCCTAAACCCTAAACCCTAAACCCTAAACCCTAAACCCTAAACTAAAGCATTATTAATTTAAATGGTAAACGAATTCTTCTGGGATGTATCTCCGCGCTGTCCGCCCTCTGCGATCCCTTGCAAAAAATACCATGCGGCGCACATGCGCCTCGGCGCGCGCGGCATCTGTTGCGACTTTCCCTATCAAATCATACCATGCGGCGCACATCGGGCCGCGGCGGCTAATTCCTAAACCTCCACCATCCCTATCGAATCATACCATGCGGCGCACCTCGGGCCGCGGCGGCCAATTCCTAAACCTCCACCATCCCTATCGAATCGTACCATGCGGCGCACCTCGGGCCGCGGCGGCCAATTCCTAAACCTCTACCACCCCTATCGAATCGTATCATGCGGCGCACTTCGGGCCGCGGCATCATGGGTCTCGCAGCTGAGCGCAGCCCCAGCTCCGCTGCAGCGCGGCGCTTGAGGCGGGGACAGACGGACGGCGACGCGACGAATACGACGACGACGAGCGACGAACAACGCGGCGACGACGACGACAGGCACTGCAGCTCGCCTGCCGCGGGCCGCCTGGCAGCCCTGCAGCCCCGCAGCGCAGCTGCAGCGCAGCGCAGCTGCAGCGCGGCGCTCGAGGCGGGGGCGGACGGACGGCGACGACGAAGACGAAGACGGCGGCGGCGAAGACGACGACGACGAAAACGACGACGACGACGACGACGACGACGACGACGACGACGACGACGACGAGCGCGACGAGCGGCCAACGACGACGGCGACGACGACGACGACAGACGACGGCGAGCGGCAAGCGAGGGAGGAGGACGACGACGAGGGACGCCGCTCCCCACAGCCCAGGGTTGCTCCACACCCCCCCCAACGCGACTAACCCCGAGGTTTAGGAATTGTCCGCCGTAACAGGATGCGCGCCGCGTGGTATTATTTGATAGGGGCGGTGGGGGCTTAGGAATTAGCCGCCGCGGCCCGAGGTGCGCCGCATGGTACGATTCGATAGGGATGGAGGGAAAACGACGACGACGGCGACGGCGACGACGACGACGACGACGACGACTACGACGACTACGACGACGACGACGACGACGACTACGACGACCGCGACGACGACGGCGACGACGACGGCGACGACGACGACGGCGAGTGCCTCCGAGGGCCCCCGACGGCCCACGAGGGCCTCCACGAGCCTCCGAGGGGCAGCCTCCCACGGCATCGGGGGGCCTCCGAGGGCCCCCGATGGCCCCCAAGGGCCCCCGAGGGCCTCCGAGGGCCTCCGAGGGCTTCCGACGGCCTCCGAGGGCCTCCGGGGGCCTCCGACAGCCTCCGAGGGGGGCAGCCGACCGCTTCCGAGGGCTTCCGAGGGCCCCCGAGGGGCAGGCTACGACGACGACGACGACCACGACGACGACGACCGCGACGACGACGACGCCGACGACGACGAAAACGAGGATGACGAAAATGACGACGAAAACGACGACGACGACGACGACGAAAACGACGACGACGACTACGAAAAGGACGATGACGAAAACGAAGACGAAAACTATGACGACGACGACGACGACGACGAAGACGACGACGACGAAAACGAAGACGAAAACTATGACGACGACGACGACGACGACGAAAACGACGACGACGAAAACGACGACGACGACGAAACCGACGACGACGACGGCGACGACGAAAGCGACGCCGACGACGAAACGACGAAAACGACGACGACGACGACGACGACGAAATCGACCCGCCCGTTAGGGCCCGCCCGCCCGACTCGACCCGCCGTTAGGGTCCGCCCGACCCGACCTACCCGACCGTTAGGGTACGCGCGTGCCAACTCGATGACGCATCGTAGTTTAATGTTCCTCCATCGAGTGGTGTTTGCCGATGTATGTAATGGGAATCCAGGGTGGGTGGGGTTTGAGCACCGCGGCAGTGTGTCATCGACATCCATGTGTTTTTCTACACGCTTTCCTGGTGGACCCTAAACCCTAAACCCTAAACCCTAAACCCCAAACCCCAAACCCCAAACCCCAAACCCTAAACCCTAAACCCTAAACCCTAAACCCTAAACCCTAAACCCTAAACCCTAAACTGAAGCGCGACCCCGTTGGGTCGCGCTCTCGACCTCGAACGCTATCGGTGGCGAGGAGCGAGCGACAGTCGAGCTCCCAGAACGTTCTCAGGCCGACGCCAGTGCTGCGCTCCGCCAAACAGAAGAACCCTTAACCTGAGCGGCATTTGCTGGCCCCGGTCGCTCTTGGCCCCTGGGAGGATCAACTTCACCTGGGAGCCCCCTCGCGCCCCCTCGCGCCAAGCCCGCCCCCTCGCGCTCCCCTTCCGCGCCGAACTTCGAAAGCGAAACAGGCGCTCCCAAGCGCTCCCAGGCGCTCCCAAGCGCTCCTAGGCGCTCCCGGGCGCTCCCCAAGCGCTCCCAGGCGCTCCCAGGCGCTCCCAGGCGCCCCACGCGCCCGCAGGCGCTCCCAGGCGCTCCCAGGCGCTCCCAAGCGCTCCCAAGCGCTCCCGAACGCTGCCAAGCGCTCCCAGGCGCTCCCGGGTGCTCCCAAGCGCTGCCAAGCGATCCCAAGCGTTCCCATGCGCTCCCAAGCGTTGCCCAGCGCTCCCAAGCGTTCCCAAGCGCTCCCGAGCGCTCCCAGGATCCCCAATGGCTCCCAGGCGGTTCCAAGCGCTCCCAAGCGCTCCTGGGCGTTCCCAAGCGCTGTCAGGCGCTGCCAGGCGCTGCCAAGCGCTCCCAAGCGCCCCCAAGCGCTCCCAGGCGGTGCCAGGCGCTCCCAGGCGCTCCCAAGCGCGCCCAAGCGCTCCCAGGCGCTCCCAAGCGCCCCCAAGCGCTCCCAAGAAGCGCTCCCAGGCGCTCCCAGGCGCTCCCAGGCGCTGCCAAGCGCTGCCAAGCGCTGCCAAGCGCTCCCAAGCGCTCCAAGCGTTCCCAAGCGTTCCCAAGCGCTCCCAGGCGCTCCCAAGCGCTCCCAAGCGCTCCCAGGCGCTCCCAGGCGCCCAAGCGTTTCCAAACGCTCCCAAGCGCTCCCAGGCGCTCCCAGGCGCTCCCAAGCGCTCCAAGGAGCTCCCAGGCGCTTCCAGGCGCTGCTGCCCACTCAGCCCGGCGAAGGGCACCAGAGAAGTCCGTAGCGCACAATGGAATGCGAGGGGGCGCCAGACCCGCCCCCTCGCGCTCCCCCACCCGCCAAATCTTCGAGGGTGCCATGTGTGAGCTCCAGCCAAGATGCGCTCCGAGAGAGAGAGAGAGAGAGAGAGAGAGAGAGAGAGAGAGAGAGAGAGAGAGAGAGAGAGAGAGAGAGAGAGAGAGAGAGAGAGAGAGAGAGAGAGAGAGAGAGAGAGAGAGAGAGAGAGAGAGAGAGAGAGAGAGAGAGAGACAGTTAGTCCCCCCATGCGAAGGGGGGCGAAGGGGGGTAGCGCGCCAGGGAGCGCCTGGGAGCGCCTGGGAGCGCTTGGAAGCGCTTGTACGATCTGGCAGACAGAAATCACGAAGGCGACCCGGCAAACCGAAATCACGCGGGCGGCGCGTCCCGCGCTGGCGCAGTGAGGCGGGACGGAGGCAGCGCCGGGAGCGCCTGGGGGCGCCTGGGAGCGCCTGGGGGCGCCGGGAAACGCTGCGCAGCTTGGGAGCGCTTGGGAGCGCCTGGGAGCGCCTGGGAGCGCCTGGGAGCGCCTGGAAGCGCTTGGGAGCGCCCGGGCGATCTGGCACACCGAAATCACGGGGGCGACCGGCAGACCGAAATCACGGCGGGACGGAGGCAGCGCCGGGAGCGCCTGGGAGCGCCTGGGAGCGCCTGGGCAGCGCTTGGGAGCGAGCGCCTGGGGGCGCCTGGTTCGTCTGGGCAGCGCCTGGGAGCGCCTGGGAGCGCCTGGGGACGCCTGAGAGCGCCTGAGAGCGCCGGGGAACGCTGAGCAGCCTGGGAGCGCCTGGGAGCGCCGCCCGCACACGTTGAACAGTATTGCGCGGCCAGCCGCACCTGGCGCCGTGCCGACATGCCCCTGCTGGAGTTCCTGCGGAAGACTGGAGACGACGGCCAGATCGCCCACTGGATTCAGAAGCCGCGGCGCGAGGAGGTGCTCGTCGTTGCCTTCGCAGCATGCGTGAAGGAGGGCGGCAAGCTGCCATTCCAGAAGTTCCGTGTGGGCGCCACGAAGAAGGAGTTCAAGGCCTTTGCTGGGAGAGAGGAGCAAGGCGCCGACGACTTCCGCGCGTTCGCCAAGTGGCACGTCGAGGAGAAGCTGAACGCGGAGATGAGCGGGCAGGTGCAGATCGACCACCTCGAGGTGGCCTCGCTCGCAGACTTTGCCAACGACTACCCGATGAACGGCGAGAAGATCGTCGCTGTCGACCACGTCTACCGCCTGAACGACAAGTTCTTCGGCCAGTGGCTGGCGCTGCACGTGCCTTTCTCGAACAGCATGGACGAGCTCCTGGACGCGGACGTCGATCGCCTGGTGCCCAAGAAGTACCGCTGGTTCGCCACGGCGCTGCGGCGCTGCGACGACCACGACTGCGTGCCCGTCGAGCTCCGCGACTTCTGGAGGCTGCCCCACAGGATCAGGAGCGAGATGAAGCAGGAGGCCAGCACCGACGACCACATCGAGGACGTCCAGGAGATGGTCCACGGACAGATGGAGCTGGTGGACGAGTACCTGTCGGGCGCACGCAACCGCGCCGAGGAGGAGACAGCCGCGGCGGCTGCGGTGGCGGCGAGCGGCCGCCGCGGGAGCGCTGGCCCCGCCGCCCCGCACCAGTTCAACGCCCAGCAGAAGAAGGTGGAGAAGGCCGTCAACAAGGCCGTCGACCGCGCCGTCATCTATAACCACAGCGACAGCGCCTCCGCGATCGAGCGAGCGGGCGACGATGCCTGGCAGAACAACACGCCGACCATCGTCCTTGGCAAGCCAGGCACGGGCAAGACCACCGTCGTCAAGGAGTGCATCCGCCGCGCCTGCGAGAAGGGCGCCCAGGTCCTCTTCGCGCTGCCCACGGCGCAGCTCGCGAGCCGCATGAAGGAGGCCCTCCGCGGCATCCAGAACGTCTGCGTGGACACCTGCCACGCGGCCTTCAAGTTCGGCCAGCCCGAGTCCGAGACGCTGCACCTCATGAGCTCCTACGACATGGTCGTGGTCGACGAGATCTCGCTTCTCGACATGCCCCACTTCGAGAAGCTGATGAAGATGTGGGCCGCGGCGCAGAAGCTCCCAGCCTTTGTCATCCTGGGCGACAAGTACCAGCTGCCCGCCATTGACGCGGTCAAGAACGGTCGCCCCTGGGAGAGCGCCGCCTGGAAGAAGTGCAGAGTGATCACCCTGCACCAGGCCTGGCGCTGCAAGGACCCCGAGTTCCTCAAGGTCCTCGACAAGCTCCGCGTGGACAAGCCCAGCAAGAAAATGCTCAGGACCATGTGCCGCGGCCGCAAAGCCTGGAACTGGGAGCACCCCGACGCGGACGACATCAAGCGCCACCTCGACGAGCATCCAGAGACCGTCATCGTCACGTGCACGCGCCACAAGGCGGAGGAGCTCAACAACCTCGCCGTGGAGGGCCTCTACGCGGGGCGCAGGCCCATCGCGGTGATCGACGGGGACATCGACATCAACCCCGAGAACTACACCAAGGACGGCTTCCGCGACGACCGCAGGCCCATTCCTGCCAAGGTGCCGATCTACAGAGGTGCTCGTCTCTACCTCACACAGAACGTGCGCAAGGAGGACGACTACGTCAACGGCATGGCCTGCACGGTCGAGAGGTTCACGCCGAACGGCGACGGCGGCGCGCTCCTCGTCCGCACCAAGACGAACCAGCTCCTGCCCATCACCGAGTGGACCAATAAGAAGGTCGATGGCCGCAGCGTGCGTCATTTTCCTATCAGGCTCGGCTACGCGAGCACCATCCACAAGGCAAGGACACGGGGGATGGCAGAGGCAGCGCCCCCCTCCCCTGGGCCGACGCGCTCGCTTGTCGGACACCCCGAGCGCGACGCGAACGAGAGACGAGTCCTCTCGCGCTGCGTTCGGGGCGCCCCACACTGGCGAGCGCCGGCAGAAGGGAACGCGCTGCGTCTGCCAACCCGATCAGGTGCAGGGCGATGAGTTCAAGCACATCACCGTCGTGCTTGACAAGCAGTTCTGCCCCGCGGCGGGCTACGCGGCGTTGTCGCGCGTGGAGCGCGCTGCCGACTACAAGCTTGCGGGCACGTTGACGCCCGAGCACTTCGTGCCCGCCACCTGGATGGATCCCTCCTGAGCGGGCCCGCAGCACGCGCGCGTGGGGGCCACCGCAGACGCCGCCGACGACACAGGTCGGCGGCGACACGGGCCGCGTGGCGCGCCCAGACACCCTTCTGCACGGCCTCAGCCACCTGCCCACAACTGCGGCTGCTGCGCGTCGGATATTCCAGCACGAGAGCCGCCTGCAAGACCTCCCCCCCTTCCTCCGAAGGGGGGGCGAAGGGGGGGTAGCTCGACCGATGGTTCATGCCCAAGGCACATGGTCGCCAACATGGAACTTCCCCCCATGAGAAGGGGGGAGAGAGGGGGGTAGAAGAACCCTAAACCCTAAAGGGGTACTTTTGGGTGGGGGGGGGGAACGGAAACGAATAGCAGCCGACCCCCCCAACCTCTTGAAGGAGGGGGGGTCGAGCTGCTTCCGCCCAGCGAGGCCCTAAACCCTAAATAAACCCTAAACCCTAAACCCTAAACCCTAAACAACCTAAAGCATTATTAATTTAAATGGTAAACCAATTCTTCTGGGATGTATCTCCGCGCTGTCCGCCCTCTGCGATCCCTTGCAAAAAATACCATGCGGCGCACATGCGCCTCGGCGCGCGCGGCATCTGTTGCGACTTTCCCTATCAAATCATACCATGCGGCGCGCATCGGGCCGCGGCGGCTAATTCCTAAACCTCCACCATCCTTATCGAATCATACCATGCGGCGCACCTCGGGCCGCGGCGGCCAATTCCTAAACCTCCACCATCCCTATCGAATCGTACCATGCGGCGCACCTCGGGCCGCGACGACGACGGCGACGACGACGGCGACGACGACGACGGCGAGTGCCTCCGAGGGCCCCCGACGGCCCACGAGGGCCTCCACGAGCCTCCGAGGGGCAGCCTCCCACGGCATCGGGGGGCCTCCGAGGGCCCCCGATGGCCCCCAAGGGCCCCCGAGGGCCTCCGAGGGCCTCCGAGGGCCTCCGACGGCCTCCGAGGGCCTCCGGGTGCCTCCGACAGCCTCCGAGGGGGGCAGCCGACCGCCTCCGAGGGCTTCCGAGGGCCCCCGAGGGGCAGGCTACGACGACGACGACGACCACGACGACGACGACCGCGACGACGACGACGCCGACGACGACGAAAACGAGGATGACGAAAATGACGACGAAAACGACGACGACGACGACGAAAACGACGACGACGACGAAAAGGACGATGACGAAAACGAAGACGAAAACTATGACGACGACGACGACGACGAAGACGACGACGACGAAAACGAAGACGAAAACTATGACGACGACGACGACGACGACGACGAAACGACGACGACGAAAACGACGACGACGACGAAACCGACGACGACGACGGCGACGACGAAAGCGACGCCGACGACGAAAGCGACGACGAAAACGACGACGACGACGACGACGAAATCGACCCGCCCGTTAGGGCCTGCCCGCCCGACTCGACCCGCCGTTAGGGTCCGCCCGACCCGACCTACCCGACCGTTAGGGTACGCGCGTGCCAACTCGATGACGCATCGTAGTTTAATGTTCCTCCATCGAGTGGTGTTTGCCGATGTATGTAATGGGAATCCAGGGTGGGTGGGGTTTGAGCACCGCGGCAGTGTGTCATCGACATCCATGTGTTTTTTCTACACGCTTTCCTGGTGGACCCTAAACCCTAAACCCTAAACCCTAAACCCTAAACCCTCAAGCCGAAAAGCACCACGTATTGAGCAAGCTCGAACGATGTCATGACGAATGGTGGAAACAAGACCGACGAGGATGGAGGGATAACGCGAAACAGGTATACAATGAGCAATGTCTTGCTTCTGCTATGTTTCATTTGCTGTTGGTGCTCGTTTTGCTGATTGTAGCACTTCTGTGCTCAAATTGCTCTCTGCCGCGTCTCGGTGCTTCAAATTGCTGTTTGCAGCGTTTCCGCTCAACTTGTTCGCAGCGTGTCGGTGTTCAAAATGCTGTGTGCAGCGTTTCGGTGTTTCAACGGTCGACCAGGGCTTGCAAGTCTGGATTCAGGTTTCAGCGTGTAGATTTGAGGACTCGGGCTTGGGCTCGGGCTCGGGCTCCGACTCGGTCTGGGACTCGGGCCGCGCCCGCGCCCGCGCCCGCGCCCGACTCCGTTTCCGCGCCCGTGCCATGACGCCCCCGACTAGTGGAGAACCAGAACAAGCCAAGAGCTTGAAACATCATGAGAATAAGAAATGGCCGAGGACCAATCCCCTAGAGCAACAAATCCCCTAGAGCCAGGAAAGACTGAGAGCCAGGGGGCCCGCAAAACCTTGCCAACCTGACGAGGATGGAGGGGTGTCGCGAACGAGCTATAGAATAGCAAGATGATGCCTTTCTTTGTTTTTTTTGGCGATCTCGTTTTCTTCGTTCCTGAGGGTGCGCGGCTGCTTCGCTTATGATGTCCTGTTCTCCTCATGGAAAGCATGCCTGTGAGACGTGCGTTCGCTTCGTGCCGTCCTGCTTGGGGAATGCGAAACCACGTAGCGATAAACTTTGTGCAGGACGCACCGCGCAGCAATTCTCCGCATGCCGCTCTCGTTTTGAGGCCCGAAGAAAGTAACCGAAGACAGCGATGCGACGAAAGTCGGCTGCGGCCGTTGTTTATTTTTCTCATGGGGGAAGCAGGGGGGCATGCGGGCCCATAATCGAACGTGTTTTGCGGAGTGCGGTGGCCGCGGGAACGGGCGATAAGTTGTCCAGGCGCTCTGCCGAAGACGATGGAAGTCGACGTGCCGCGAGGGTGATTTTCCATGGCAACGACGCCCCTCGGCCTGACGGCAGCTCAGTAGAGATGAGCAAAAGCACGCGCGCATCGAAAGACAAGCCGCGAGCATTCAAGCGGCATATATACACCCGCTTGCCATCGCGGGAAGACTCAGCATCTGCCAGCGCGGCTCCAGCGCCGCGTCTGCGCTGGCCGCCCGCGGCCTGAGGGCCGACGACCCTCCGAGCTCATGCCGGGGAAGCTGGGCGAAAGGTCGACGCCAGGAACGGCACGGCCAACTCCGCGAACTTGCGCCTAGGGTGTCTACGGCACATGCGCCGCAGGCGCGGATCGTCCCACATGATCACGAAGAAGCGCATCTCATCCGCGAGCGGCAGCGGCAGACCGCGCATGCCGAGGGTGTGGACGGAGTTGCCGCCAGTGGTCACCTGGATCTCGCCGCGCGCGCGGTCGAGGCGCGCAGTGCACAGGGTCTTTCTGGGCCCGCCGCGTCTGGAAGCTCGGAAAAGAGGTGGCGCGGGCGGCGCGGTGTGTCTCATGCCCATCTGCTCCAACGTGGCCATGGCTATGTCCCACCCGTGTTCGGGAAGCATCTGCGCGTGCACGATGCGATCCGTCTTGCGAGTCCCTACGTGGAAATCACTGCGAACGGAGATGTCGTAGGCCTCCGCGAGCTCGTCGAATGTCTTCGCGCTCGTCCAGCCTACGTCAATGGGCGCCCACAGGTCCACGCCGTCCTCGCCAAGCTCTTCGCGCATCAAGCACACCTCGTCGGGCGCCCTGTCGGCAGTCAAGCAGGCGAGACAGGCCTCGCCGCCGGTCCTGAGAAGTTTCCAGAAACCAAGCTCGTGCGTGGAGATGTTCATCCTGGCCTCGTCCGTAACGACATCTCTATCTCTCCAGGAGACGTTCTGGACGCGGAAGCTCTCGGTCTGCCACAGGTGAACAATGGCGTGGGGCACGGCGGGCGGAGCGCCCAGGAGGTCCAGCTGGGAGCACGTCAGGTACACTCGCTCGGCCGAGCGCCACGACGGCAGCCACGCCGACAACTGCTCGCGGGTAATGCCCCCCGCCCCTTCGATGAAGACCTTCTTGCCGGCCCAGAACGTCGGCTCCCTGGCGGTCGCGCGCCAGTCGCGGCAGACCCTGGCGAGGTAGGCGATGCTGTCGACGCCAAGCGCGTACTGGAAGATGCGCTCCAGAGCCACTTGGGGGAAGCTGATCGCGGCCGCGGGAGCGGCGAGAGAGGCCGGCCGCCTCTGCGGGCGCAGCGTCTGCGGCGCAGGGAGGGGCGCCTGCCGCATCCTTGGCGCCTCGCCCTGCTTCCCGCGAGTGCGAAAACGCGGTGCCCCCTCGCCGGATACTCCTGGCTCCATGGCTGCGCTCGGTGGATGCGACGCCAAGAAGAACTGATCTGCGCTGCCGCGGAATCGTGGAGCCGAAATACCAGCGGAGCGTCGACGACGCCGACTGGGGCGTCGGCGAAGGCAACGGCGACTCGATAATGGCCGGATGACCGTCCTGTGCCTCTTCGCAACAGCGCGTCGATAGGTCCCATGAGAACCGGATGGGGGCCCGGGTGGATCGACGCGTGGTCTTTTACATTGACCGGTAGACGAGATTCAGGAGACTGGGGGCCGCCCCAGGGAGCACCCCTGCGGATTCTCATGCGGGAGGGAGGCTAGGGGACCCACAAAGGCCCCTCGGGGAGCCTTCTGAGGCCCCTCGCAATAGCTGGTCGATGAGCACGGGGAGGTGGGCTGGGGGGATCCTTGAGGCCCTTCGGAAAAAAGCTGGTCGATTTGCCCCGTGGGACAGGGCTCGGGGAGCCTTCTGTGGCTCCTCGCAAGAGCTGGTCGATAAGCACAGGTGGGCGGGGGGGGTGCTAGGGGCAGCGGCGAGTCGATGTGCCCCGGGAGGGACCTGCACATGGCGCCTTGTCGCCTCTGGAGCCCCTTGCAATGCGAGTCGCAAGGCTCCGTGAGTGTCGCGACATTGCCGCCCTGGGGTCTGGAGATGACTATGAGATGGCGACGACAACGACGACGACGAAGACTACTACCATTCACATGGATCCACCCCTCGATCTGCAATGGGTTCAGAGGCGCGAGCAGCCCGACGGTTGCTAGTGAAATGTATGATACACATGGCGCAGGCGGAATATTATTGTAGGGCGCCCACAGGATGCTGCCGCCGCGCGTGCGTCTGCGCGGGCGGAGGCGCAGTCAGAGCGACGGGCGGCGACGGCTGGCCCGCCGCGCCCGCCGGAGCGCCTACTCGGGAATCTGCAAGGCCGCCTTCTCGTAGAAGAGGAGGTACGTGTGGCCCGCGACGTGGTCCCGCACGAACCTCTCGGACTCCCTCGCAGAGGCGTGCCTGATGACGCGGTCGCTGCACGTGTACCAGCGCCCTGCTCGGAGCACGAAAGCGACGTAGTGGCCGCTCCGCGCCGATCTCCCCTCGTGCGTGACCACCGCGCGAAGCAAGTAGGTGGCGCCCGACAGGCGTAGGACGGCATCGGGCACCACTCCGTGCGGCTCCAGCTGACCCGTGGCACCCCAACGGACGAGGTGGAGAACGAGGATGGCCGGCCACAGCGAGATGTTCGACACCTTTGCTGGGTCGTCCGCCGCAAGACCGCGGGCCGCGCACTGAGGCGCCTTGCAGGCCCAGTCGTCCACCTCGACGATCTGCTGAACGTTCAGGTAGTGCATCAGTGCATCGCGAGCCGTTGAGAGAGGCACGTCGTTCTGCGCCCGCAGCATCATCGACAATGAGCAGAACCTCTCGCCGGGTGCTTGGCGCCCGAGGAGCCCGCAATGCTGGCAGCACAGGCGTGGGGTATCCATGCCGCTGCAGAGCGACGCCCAGGCTGGCGCGGCCTGCAGCACCTGGTGCTGCAGGAACTCGTGAGCGTCCTCCTGGATGCCGTGGTGATGATCGAGAAAGAGATTCGGAGCGAAGCGCCTGCCCGTCTCGGCGCTGCGGAAAGTGGCGACCAACCTCCCATCTCCACTGTCCTCGACGGGCATGGCGCCGCAGAGCTCCGCGGTGAGATCGAGGGCGAATATCGCCTGCAGAGTGGCGTTGGCGTAGCAGGAGTTCCCGATGTTCAGCAGAGGGCAGGGCGCTGGCCGCGGCGGCGCAGGCGGCGCGCCCGCGCCTGGCGTGGCGGGCGCGGCGTCGCTGGCGGCGCCCCGCAGACCGGCGGCCCCGTCCGCAGCGGCGCGCGTTTCGCCTCTCTGCGCGGCAGGCGGCGCAATAGGCGCGGCCGCGGCCGCGGCCGAGCCCGCGCTCGCCGTGCCCCCGGCCCCCTCGGCGCCCGGCAGCGCGACCTTCGGCGGCGGCGCGTCGACTCCGGAGCCCGCGGCCCTGGGCGCGGCGAGCGCGACCGGCGCAGCTGCGCTGGCGGCGCGCCGCTCGCCGTCGGACCCGTCCGCCGCGCTGCCCGCGGCCCGCGCCGGGCTGGCGAGCCGCGGCCTCTTGGGCGGATGGCGCGCGGGCGGGGCCGCTGCGGCCGTGCCGAGCTCGACGCGGGCCCGCTGCAAGTCCGCGAGCCTTGCCCGCCGGCGCGGTGCCGCAGCTGGCGTGGACGCGTCGGCTGGCAGGGTGGCGTGCTCGGCGTGGTCGGCGCCGTCATCTGGCTTGCTCTCGGCGTCCTCATCGCAGCCGTCGACTGCTGCCTCTGGGCGGGGCCGCGCGGCGTGCTCGTCAGGCGACTGCGCGTCGTTCATTCGCCGACGGCCCTTCGGAACCTGTCGCAGCACTGCCACGGCCCTCTCGGGGTCGGCAGGCCGCGGCAGAGGCGGTGCCCCTGCAGGGCGCTTGCGCGCGTGGCGCGCCAGCGGGCAATACGCCCGCTGGTGGAGCTTGCAAGCCGGCTCCGAGAAGAACATCTCGCCGCAGTGTGAGCAGCCGTGCTGCGGGGCGTCGCCGCGCTCCTCCGCGGCGCGGGCCTCCAGGGCGATCTCGCGGTTCAGCACGAAAGCCGGCGGCGGCGTCTCCTCCATCCTCGCTTCCAGCGTTTCCACCGACTCGCTGGGCGCGAAGCAGTCGCGCCAGTTCTGGTCCGGCTGATCTGGGCCGCCAGCCACGTGCGCCTGCTGGACCAGCAGCTGCAGGAGGGCGTAGTCCACGCCCGTCGCCGCGACGAACGCCTTCGAGTCGAGGTGCATCAGGTACAGGTCGTCCAGCGTCTGCGCGCGCGACAGGGCGACGTACGCCATGGCCGGCCTGGCGGCGGACGGATTCAGGTACGCGACCACGCCATCAGTCATGGTCGACCCCTGTGCCTTGTGGATAGTCATCGCCCAGCAGAGAACCAAAGGGAACTGCGAGCGCTCGACGGCGTCGCCGTCTGGGGTGTTGAACGAGCCCTTCGTCCGCACGATGGCGACGCCCGGCTCCTCGGCATTGTCCGCCGCGCGCGCGGCGCGGCCGACGCCGCACGGGAACTCGACGCGCACCTTTGCCAGGTCGTCAGTGTCCCCGACGGTGAGGATGTCCGTGACGACACCGCGCGCGCCGTTCACCAGCCCGTCCGAGACGTCGAGGTTGCGTCGCAACATCACCTTCGCGTGCAGTGCGAAGCGCGCCTCCGTCTCCAGGCCGCCCGTGTCTGCGGCATCGACGAAGCCGTCGTCGAGCTCCATGGGCATGCCGGTCTCCTTCGAAGTGTCGGACGCTGGCACGGTGTAGATCGGCACGCCATACTGCTCCGCGTGCGCTCGAAGCTGCTCATCATTCACCCGCGCCACGTCCATCCGCGTGGCCAGCAGGTGCGGTGCGTCGCACCCGGCAGGCGGTCGCCGCACGCGCGTCTGCAGCGTGGCCATGTCGTCCTCCGTCTGTTGACCCTTGCGCACCCGCTCGAGCAGGGCGGCGTAGGCTGGGTCCTTGGCTGCCCTGTGGTTGCCCTGCAGCTCGCAGAGCGTGAGCAGCTTCCAGAGCTCTTCCGCCGCGAAGATCGGGCGCCCGCCCGGCGGCGGCAGCTGGTACAGGTCGCCGCACAGAAGCAGGTGCACGCCGCCGAACGGTACGCCGGGCATCTGCTTGTACACCTGCAACCGGGCATCGATGCGCGCAAGCGTCTCAGCCGACACCATGGACACCTCATCGACGATGAGTGCTCTCACTGGCTTCCAGAAGTGTCGGAGGCTCTCCAGAGCCGGCCCCGTCGGCGGCGGCGCGTCCGAGGCGTGCCCGAAGGAATTGTTGGTGATTGGCAGGTGCAGGCACTGGTGAAGAGTGAGACCGTTGACCAGGAAGGCTGCGCAGCCAGTAGGTGCCGCGATCGCCACGCCGTGCCCTCCCTGTCGAAGCAGCGTCGCCACAGCGCGGATGACGACGGACTTGCCGCAGCCTCCGGGGCCGTGGAGGAGCACTCGGGCAGGATCTCTGTTGCCTTTCTGCACCTTGTCGCAGAACCAGTACACGATGTCCTGCTGTTTCGACCGCTGCGCTCCTTCTCCGAAGAGTAACTCAAGCGCCTGCTCTCCCCCGTCGACGGGTCCGAACACGCTCGAGGACCCCGGCGCAACGCCCGCGGCCGCCTCGAAATCGCCATCGCTGTCGTCGTCCACGTCGAGCTCGTCCTCCGCCCGGCCAGCAGCGAGCCGCAGTCGCCGCAGCAGCTCCCGGTGGGCCTCCCACTCCATGGCGGCGCCTGGTGTCTGCATGGCGGACCTCAGGACAAGCGCCGTGTTCAGGCGTCTGAGCTCGCGGAGGGCTGCCTCAGCGAGATTGAGCTTCGGGAACACGATCGACTTCATGAAATGGTCTGCTGCACCAAGCCGCTGCACTGCGAACTCCGCAGCCTCGCCGTCGTCATCGGGAGCGCGCTCGCTGCCCTCCATGGGCTCTGGATCCTGGAGCGTTTCCGCCGCAGCTCCTCGCTCCCGTACCAACCTGGTGAACGCGCTCTTGTGACTGCCTCGATCCTCTGGCACGAGCCACTCCGGGCCCGTCTCGTCTTCAAACTCCGCCCACGGATAATGCAGCAAGAGCTTGGCATAGAAGTACGCCTCGGTGTCCGCGTCGGGATCGTACGTCTTCGACGACACCACGGCAGGCTTCTCCCGCAGGGTGACGTCTGACTTGTATGGCGTCTTGTAGGACGCCACGAAATCGAACAGCGTCAGCTCGCGCGGGTCGATGAACTCGCATGGGCTCGCCGATGACGCCCGCCCTTCCACGAGTAGCGGCACGCAGACGTGGCCCGTGCGTTCTGCCTCGTCCACAGCCAGGAACTCCTGGACCTTGCGGGCGCGCCACTCAGCATAGCGAGCGATGACGGCCGGTGGCGCAGGCTCGGGCAGCTGCTCCGCCTCGGGATTCTTGATCGCCGTTTGCCATAGATGGACAGGCACAAAGGCAG